TTCAACCCCTTTAGGAGAAATATATATACTCAACAAATCTCCACATTGACGAATATCCAACCCCTTATGAGAAATAGATCATGGAATTTCTTATGCACCAATGTTGGTTGAGCTACTATTTTAAATAATCTCTTAATTAAGATTTCTTAATTTAGTATCCTTTAATTAAATTTCCAAGAAAAAAAATGACTTTACCTTAATTAAATTTTCTCAGAAATTCTTTTCCTTAACTTCCAAGAAAAGCTTCAGTTTGATAACAGTAGACGAGAAATTACGGTCAAGAAAGATAGGAATTAACACAAATCTTGAAGAACAAATTTAGATTTACGAGGTTCGACAAAGATGCATTCATCCTCGAGAGCAAGGCGGTGAATTTTTTTCAATATTCAGAAAAGAGTACATAATACAGAATTTGGCTCACCTAGAATTACAGACAGGACGTATATATAATCCTATAGTAAAATATGTAATTACATAAATTACCCATGTACCAAACCGCAGTGTGTTGCCTCCGGACCCTCAACCCACATAATTAAACTCCATCGATTAGACAAATCCTTCCACTCCACTCCCCTCGTGGTCTCCGCTCCGCTCCAACATCTGTCTCATTTATGATATATGAGTCATACCTAACAAATCTCCACCTCGACGAATGTCCAACCCCAAATATGTATTCGTAACAAATCTCCACCACGGCAAATATCCATCACCTCATAAGAAAATATATATGCCTAACAAATCTCCACCTTGACGAATATCCGGCCCATTAGGAGAAATATATCATGTAGTTTCTTATGCACCCATGTGGGTTGGGCCACCACACTTCCGATGCGCTCTCGCTGATCGCCCAATCTATTAAATTCCATCATTCTAAGAGACTCGAAATTTTGGTATTATGAGTCATACCTAACAAATCTCCATCTTGGCGAATATTCAACCCCTTTAGGAGAAATATATATACTCAACAAATCTCCACATTGACGAATATCCAACCCCTTATGAGAAATAGATCATGGAATTTCTTATGCACCAATGTTGGTTGAGCTACTATTTTAATTAATCTCTTAATTAAGATTTCTTAATTTAGTATCCTTTAATTAAATTTCCAAGAAAAAAAATGACTTTACCTTAATTAAATTTTCTCAGAAATTCTTTTCCTTAACTTCCAAGAAAAGCTTCAGTTTGATAACAGTAGACGAGAAATTACGGTCAAGAAAGATAGGAATTAACACAAATCTTGAAGAACAAATTTAGATTTACGAGGTTGGACAAAGATGCATTCATCCTCGAGAGCAAGGCGGTGAATTTTTTTCAATATTCAGAAAAGAGTACATAATACAGAATTTGGCTCACCTAGAATTACAGACAGGACGTATATATAATCCTATAGTAAAATATGTAATTACATAAATTACCCATGTACCAAACCGCAGTGTGTTGCCTCCGGACCCTCAACCCACATAATTAAACTCCATCGATTAGACAAATCCTTCCACTCCACTCCCCTCGTGGTCTCCGCTCCGCTCCAACATCTGTCTCATTTATGATATATGAGTCATACCTAACACTAAAGCCTTTTCTTCCTTTTCTTCTTTTTTGCCTCATGATAGTCATGTCAAAGATAGTTAAGGGAAATTTAGATAGGCAGCACACACTTCTTACGTATCTAGAAAGCTCACACGTACTTCATATTTACATACAATACAATGTTGCTTTAAATCTCTGAATGACAATGTGTATTATACTTAAAAAAAGATTACAATAGTATTATTTTATGTTTTGATATTAAAGATTTAATTATTGTCTATAAATATGAAAGTCAAAAAGGGATTTCCATGAAGAAGGTGAAATGAGAGAATCCAAATATTTTTTGTTAGGGTAATGACATATTTTCACTGTTTAATGTCTTTCGTAAGGAGTGTAACACCCGCATTTGTAATTAAATATTTAAAGAAACACCTAAAAAATATCAAGCGCCTTCTCCTCCTATACCCATCTCCTACTATACCAGCACCATCGCTAGCTACGACAAGCTCCATCTAATTTGGCAGGGTCATGTTGTTGTTGCCTCTCTGGTAGAGGATCATGTTGTTGCCAATCGATTGGCACCAGATGTTACAAACAATACTAATAATGCTTAAGCTGGTTGGACAAAACAAAATTGTCTTTTGTTTACTATCCGATTTTATGTTTTTAGTTACATTTGCTTGAAAGTTATACCTAATATTATGGTTATGATTGCTTAACGTCATCTGCAATAATTAATTTTGTTTACCTTCCAATTTTGCAGCTAAGTGAGGATGTAGTTATAGCTTAATATCTTTCATAAGGGGTGTAACACCCTAAGATTATGGGTGGAGTAAGCAAGCCAAACAAAATCAATAATCACTAGTACAGAAGCATGGGGGCCTCCAAGAATAGGGTTGGGTGGACAATAAATTCCAAGCAACCTAGCGAATGTACAATAACTAGTATACAACTTAAATAATTACTAAAGCTTATTTAAGCTTTAAATTTTCATAGCCATTTTTATAGATCTTTCAAAAACTAAAAGGACTACACTCATCGATCAAGAGATCTTAGGATCCCAACTCATGATCCATCTAAGTAGTAGTCATCCAAGTATGAGCTGGAGGGAGGCTGTTGGAGGAATAAAGAAGGGTTGGATCTATAAAATGAGGTTGCAGGCACAGGCCAGCTGCACTCACTGTACCTATATCACATCAGAGGCAACCACTCCTACCGCACAAGAGATAGAACTTCGTAGGCAATTTTCTAGATTCATCATTGATATGATCAAAGTTGTTGCCCAGTTTATCTAACGAGGGCAGAGATGGAGGCCAAGATGAAATCAGAATTTTTTGCACTACAATGTTGGACAAATCAGAGAGGAAAACAACCCTCTGAATAATCTTGAGGACAGTTTTTTTTTCTACATGTTTGAAGCAACTCAAAATGGCCTTATTATCATGTAGAACTTTTCTTTGATTTGTTGATTTTAGCTTAATAAATACTTGGACTACATTGCATTGTATAATATATCTTTGGAGTAGTATGTTTAAAAATTGCTATCATAAAAATTATCATGATAAAGAAGGATACTTATTTTATGCGTATAGTTTCCATGACTCTTTGATGCTTGCTCGATCAATTTATCCTGAGTTATCCGCTCTTTTGTAATTGTAAGAACCAACAAAAAGGACGGCTATGCGATGCCGCATAGCCAACGACTATCATTTTACCCGCAAATGACCTTATGTCATGTCAGCTGGTACTAGCTTCTATGCTGGTGCTACTTACCCTTTTAGGGTCAAAGATTTAGGGGAGGTGGCTAAGCTGAAAAATATAGGGTAGATTCTATGGTTTGATGCGCCTGGGATGGTTTCCTGCACAGTAGGATCAGTCAGTCGATCATGGGCCCAAGTAGGAGGTTGTTGACGTGCCTAAAGGTAGTTGCCCAACCCTGCACTCACTGTACCTATATCACAGAGGCAACCACTCCTACCGCACAAGAGATAGAACTTTGTAGGCAATTTTCTACATTCATCATTGATATGATCAAAATTGTTGCCCAGTTCATCTCACGAGGGCAGAGATGGAGGCCAAGATGAAATCAGAATTTGTTGCACTACAATGTTGGACAAATCAAAGAGGAAAACAACCCTCTGAATAATCTTGAGGATGTAGTTATAGCTTAATATCTTTCGTAAGGGGTGTAGTTTTGAGGATGTAGTTTTGAGGATGTAGTTATAGCTTAATAATCTTGAGGATGTAGTTTTGAGGACAGTTTTTTTTTTCTACATGTTTGAAGCAACTCAAAATGGCCTTATTATCATGTAGAACTTTTCTTTGATTTATTGCTTTTAGCTTAATAAATACTTGGACTACATTGCATTGTATAATATATCTTTGGAGTAGTATGTTTAAAAATTGCTATCATAAAAATTATCATGATAAAGAAGGATACTTATTTTATGCGTATTGTTTTCCATGACTCTTTGATGCTTGCTTGATCAATTTATACTGAGTTATCCGCTCTTTTGTAATTGTAAGAACCAACAAAAAGGACGGCTATGCGATGCCGCATAGCCAACGACTATCATTTTACCTGCAAATGACCTTATATCATGTCAGCTGGTACTAGCTTCTTTGCCGTGCAACTTTTGGGTTAAGGGAGACAGTTATGGCAGTTGGACCTTATATCATGTCAGCTGGTACTAGCTTCTTTGCTGGTGCCACTTACCCTTTTAGGGTCAAAGGTTTAGGTGAGGTGGCTAAGCTGAAAAATACAGGGTAGATTCTATGGAGAAAGCCGTGCAACTTTTGGGTTAAGGGGGACAGTTATGGCAGTCGCTTAAACTTAAAAGCTGTTGCTGGTAGAAATTCCAGGGATACCACAAATAAAGGTATATTTTTACGTTTAATTACCCTGTACCGTTCAATATACAATGGAGATTGAAGTTTAAGCCATCTCCCTGGCTTTCAAATTGGTGAAGCCAGACCTTTCAGAGCGGGCTAGCATCCTAAAGGGAGTTAAAGCCAATGTTGGTAATTAACATGCTGTGATGTATACCTTACGGAGGGAATCACTTAGCTAATTGGCTAACTATATGGGGACATATTTAATATAGTTGGTAATATTTTATATATTTAAATTGATGAAATTAAACCAATAAAATTTTTTTTGATGAAATTTAAATGCATTGACTAGATCAATATTGTTGAATAAATTTTTTAAAATACATGAGAGATACTCAATTCCTCTACTTAATGATTCGAGTATTGCAGTTAAGTGAAATTTTATATGGCTGCTGCTTTTAAAAGATTATACACTAGCAGTTAAAATTTACCATGCCATCTAATGATTGCCAACAGATCTGTCTCAAAAGAATAATAGGAATAATAACTTGCAGGCAAAATATTTAAGTTAAAATAACCTGGGTAATAAAATTCCCATATCAAGCAAATAAATCAAAGAAAAATTCGACCAGAAAAGCAAATGTCACCTACTAATTTAATGATAGCACCAACTAAAAAGCTTCCATTTATCATTTCAAAACATGAAATTAGACAACTACCGAAGCTAAAGCATATTATTAAAATAAAAGCAGTCAAAAGCAAACATAACTAAATCGTAAGTCAATGCTAATGCCCAGTTCCTTCTATTTTTGCTCTCCCAGGCCCAAAGTGTTCTTAACAGCTTCGGTAGTTCCCTGAGCAGCACTCTTAATTTTATCTCCAGCCTGTTTGCCAAAGATTAAGGGCATTCAACAAATGTACTATTATCTAAACAATAAACAAACGTAAACAAAATCATAAACAAGTTTATGTCAATAGATACATACCTGCTGTAGATAGCTACCAGCATTATCCTTCCCTTCTACTGCATGATCCTTTGCTGCCTGAGCAGTCTCGGCAGTCTTGTCCTTGGCTTCTGCTGCCGTATCAGAAGCCTTTCCCAGCAAATTATTCGTTTTCTCCTGCAACAAAGGAGATTCATTTACTTCATAAATAGCACCCAAAAAAAAATTCTTACAACGAAAACTCGGAATTATTGAAGAACAGAGCTTAGGAGTGAAAATAAACAGAGGGAGAAACCTGAGTTTGTCCTTTAGCCTCGCCAGCATGATAGGCAGCCTTGTCCTCAGTCGACATTGTTACTGTTTCCTTTAGATTCTTGCTTTACACACAGAAGAAATCACTTGGTTAAACTGATGGAGGCAGTGGAATTTATAGGCTATGAAGTGTAATGTATGAGTGACACGTGTTTAATGCTGCATGGATAAGAAGACACGTGTAAGGGCACCTGTCGAGTGGGGGAGAAGACGAGCATATGAACCGATCTACTTCTAACTTCTAAAGTTTATCTGAAAACATTTTTCTTATCCCTGATGCTAAGTCGTATAATCAAGTGCGAGGTGGCGGGAGGCATGTGAACGAGCTTCATCCGCGTCTTCGAGACAATTAATTCGCTCAACGGTAACATGAAAAAGAAATTAATATTAAATGCGATCTGAATTAGTCGTGAGAAAGATTTGATGGGGGTAGACTGACAGAAATCTATCACGTTTCATATAAGGTCGTCTGTGTTTATTGTAATAGCTAAGAGATGCCACTGTTTCAAAATGCTTCGAAAAAAGTTGCTTGTTTTGATTTTTATTTTTAACAATAAAATACAGTTTCGATGAATGTACACATATTGGTACTATAACCATAAAATAATTTTTTTAAGCCTTTGATTTATTAAATCCTTCTCTTTTAATTTCTTCATAATTTTAACTTAAATTTTGAATTTAATAAAACGTATTGTTAATAGTATTTAATAAACTCAAATTTGTGGATTTATTAAAATTGTTAAAATTATTAATACAATGCCTATGTTGCCTCAGAAAGACTAAGATCTATTATAATTTATGGAAGGTGGTCGGTTCCATAGATTGTTCTCGGATTTGCTGCTGTAGCATATGGATAAAAGATAAAAAAGCAGAGGGGGGCACTTCAGAAATTTTACATGAAAAACCATTTAAGGATAAAAAATCACTAGGTGTACAGTTGAAATTCACTATGTTAGTACATTAGCTCACTCCTCCCTTGAAATAGAATAGATGAAATTACAATGTTGATGCACAATAATAGTTCAGAAATAACAGTTGTAACTGCCCGTAATGGCCGTAGTCGATTGCTATGAATGCAATAGCCTTTTGTCAATATTATTGTTGGTGGTTGTAGGGCTAGCAGCTTGTCTTAGAGGACGTAATTAGTCATGTTGGTTGTATATGATTGCTTTAGGAGCATCGACTAGCCATAAATGTCATTATGGGGAGTTGCATAAGTTGTGAATCACGGAGGCCATAGTTGATCACTTAGGTCGTAGTTTTGAGGTGTGATAATGTCCGTTAGATGAGATGTGCTCCACGAAGGTTGTAATTAGTCGAGTAGGTTATAGTTGTGAGCTGCAATAACAACCATATGCTATGGAGACCAGAGTTTTGAGTAACCTCCTTTGTAAATATGAAAGAGATCTAGAACACTTCATCAGAAAACCCAGAGGGATTTTAATAATTGGATGATATATCATGGAAATTTTAATGTCTTCAAGATGTCAAAATTGAGTGATCTTATACTTGTTGGGGTTTTCTCATCCCTACACTGATTTGACTATAAGTTCATCGGATTAAAAATCTATTTGATCTTTCAATTTATCACCTAAAGCTTATAAAAATGATTTAATGGCTTGATCCAAGCTTTATTTTACTCGGATTGGACTAAGCTTTGTGGCAACATGTTTGTCTCATCGAGCCGGTTAGTTTGACTATAAATTTATAGAAATCAGAGTTATGTATGATTATTAGTTTGAGTTTAAATATTTTTTGCCAAAAAATACCTCGAGATTCATGTCATGTGGTGAAAATTTATTGTTGACGTAGTAGTTACTCCCAAATTTTGGGTGCTTATACTTATATCATTTGAAAATTATCCAAATGAAAAATGGGCAAAATTCTAAAAATTTTGAAAATTTTGGATTTTTCAGTGCTAGCAAATGGTAGATGGATAAAATGTGGTCGGTGGTGCTTGACAAAGAATGATGGTTGTGCTAATGATGGACAGTGGTCAGCTATAATGTACGGTAACTATTGTAGAACCACGACGACGGTCCACATTGGTCTACAGAGAGGGCGTGCCTGATCGGGTTAGCAGAATGAGTTGTTGTGGTCGGGTCAAAGAAGTAAATCCTCGAAGAATGAAAGAGTGGTCAAGCTTGAGGGTGAGCCAGAGAAGTCGGAACCCCAACCCACAATATAATGGTCGATGATCCACGTGACGTGGATGTGGTGCACGGATGTTGTTTACTCTCATAATCACATTGATCCACTTGAGTTTTTCTATGTGTAACACATGAATTATATGGCTTCTCCTAGTGTTAGTCATAAGGCCTTTCGATTGTGTGAGATTGGATGCATGTGTGGGGTGCTCAAGAAAAACTCATATTTTGGCAATATTTGGCCTCTTTAAGACAGTAAAAAGGCCTGGAAAGAGTGCAACCAATATGGAGCCCTGAACTATAATTGTGCTACCTAAAGGAGTTCTCTTAGCATTTTCTTGTTCTACCACAGAGTTCCCTTTGGTATGCTTTTGTGCTACTTTGGAGTTCTCTTTGACATGTTGTTGTGCCACCTGTAGTTCTCTTAGCATGTTGTTGTGTCGCGTCAGGATTTCCCATAGACTGCTTTTGTACCACACTGATAGTTCCCCAGACCTACTATTGTGCCATTTTTATGATGTTATTGCACTTTCTAAAGAGAATTTTCTATGCTTTGGGATACCAATGTTTGAGGAAAATTATCATCTTAGAAAATCAACAGAAGTATCATATTTCTAAGGAGGCGATGTTGATAACATTTGAAGAAGAGCTGATATTTTCTTCGATAGCATGGAAGACCAATCTTGTAAAGATCATCCACATTCTTGGAAAGCACAAGATTGTAAATAACTCCAATGCAGCCAACATATTTTTATTAGTAAATGAGTTAGTAAAGTGCACATATGAGATATCCTCAAGGGTAGATTTTTTTCTTAATAACACTGAGAGCTAATAGATACTCAAGAAGAACTAGTGAGGTCACGAGAAAATCTTGATCAGAGTGTTGAAATTTGCAGGCTTTTCAGGCAAGGATGTTGGTTATTAAAGAGGAGAGTATATAGTTGTGATCCGACTAGGCAGGAAGAGAATTTTTTCAACACTTTCGACAAAAGGGTTTACCAGTGGTATGTTGGACTACAACAAATCTTAATGGCTTGTCTTTTATCTAAGTGCCAAAAGATCCCACTTTAGCTTGAAAAGTGGGTCCAACTGAAAGTGATTTGCAGAAGCATACTCCTTATGTTGAGGAGGATTTTATAGTGGATTAGTGTCTGTATCGTTTTATTGGTGGCTTTTACTTAGAACTTCTGTAACAGTGTGTTAGTAATTGTAACTCTTCTTGGGTCTCAAGAAGTCAGTATATTGGTTTATGAAGCTCTTTTTTTGCTCCATGTAGCTCATTACACCTTATGATAATGTATATATTTGACCTCATGTTATACTTATTTAGTGTCACTTCATTCTTTATACTATAGTGTAATCTTAGATTGAAAAATTGTATGGTGAACTATGAGTTACAAAATTTTTTTGAAGTTACTCAAATAATGTCAACCCGTCCCAGGTTGCATTATCAAACATGAAAATATTCTTAAGTTAGGGATGCAAAACTTATCCTAGAATACTAGTCAGAGCACCTACTCAATATTTGTAACATGTATTGAACAAAGTCAATTGCAATCCACTAAGGATGTAAGACCTATCCTAAGCGTTATACACATACGTGCTTGTTGACCTCACTTTTGGTTGAGGTTTAGTTTTAGTTGCCTAGGGTCTAGCCATAAGAATTTCCTATTGACTATTCCTAGAAAACTAGAAAAGAACACTCACCATTAAAAACTCTAAACTCTTCCTTGCTCACTTGAATTTCCACATACTGTTCCTAACCTCTAGCACTTAGTAGTAGGTGGGGTCAGTATGAGGAATCTCAAGGAGAGTCTCCATAGGACTGCTTGACCTTAGAGCTGCCCTGGGTGTTGGTCTGGATCTAGTTCACTTACTTGTATAGTTGTACTGAAGGGGTGTTGCAATGTCAATCACTCACAATCCTAAAACCCAAAATTGTTGAGTTTGATCCCATGATCTTTTGGGAGACTCATGTAGATGGTCCCCTTGGTCCCCTAATGGTCCCCTATACCCACTAGCCCTAGGCTAGGGTTTAGCTAAGACCAGTACATAGAGGACCCAAATGGGAATTTCATTGGTCCATAGCATACATGGTCTAGTTCACATATGTTGGTTGACTTCCTAATTACCAAAAATACCCAACTTGGCCTTTTGCCCCTAAATCCACCCAAGTTACCTAAATGCCCTTGAAACCCTAAATTTTGTCAGAATCCTCAAATTCACCCAAAATACCTAATTTTTTTCAAAAATCATTCAAACCATTTGAAAATACCCAAATTATCCAAATCTACAAAAAAATTCCAAAATTGCCAAAATAACCCTAATTTTGCCAAAATTGCAAAAATACCCTTGGCACCCCAAACTTTCCCAAAACCTCCAAAATCACTTCAAATGACTCCAAAACCAATTTGGACCCCTTAATTGAACCCAATTTGGCCAATTTGACCATTTTGACCAAAACCCCCAAATTACCTTTAAAGACCCAATTTCTTCAAAAGCCCAATTTACCCAAATTCACCTCAAATGTCCATCAACTTGGCCCCAATTTCCTTCAATTTCAATCCTAAACTCAAATCAGTCTTTCATATGATCAATACAAACTAATATCCTAAACTCAAATCAGTCTTTCATATGATCAATAAAAACTAATTCCAAGTCTAATTGGCCCAAGCTTTGAGCTCAATTTTGATCTAAATGAAACCCCCAAAACTAATTCCAAGTCTAATTGGCCCATGCTTTGAGCTCAATTTTGATCTAAATGAAACCCCTAATTTTGACACTATGACCTAATCTCACCTAATTGAACCCCATAGCCTACTCAATTTGCCCCAATTTGAATTCTAAACTCTTCATAACACTCCTACACATCAAATTTGACCTTAAATTGGCCTTGGTTAAGTCTCAATTTTATTTAATTTTAACTCAAGTTCA